CAGCAACAGCAACAACAACAGCAACCAACGACAACGACAACGACAACGACGACAACAGCAACAGCAACAGCAACAGCAACAACAACAACAACAACAACAACACAACCACAACAACAGCAACGGCAACAGCAACAGCAACAGCAACAGCAGCAGCAACAGCAGCAGCAACAGCAACAACGACAACGACAACGACAACCACAACAACAACAACAACAACAACAACACAGACAACAACGACAACGACAACAACAACAACACAGACAACAACGACAACGACAACGACAATAACAATGACGACAACAATTCGAGAATCATCTTGCAGCGGCGGCACATGATAATGCTGAAGCATCGACACGCGCATTACCTCCTTGATGAAGCTGCGAGGGTAGGGAGGATAAGGCGACCCTGACCGGTGCGCGCTGTTTGCCAAAAACAACGTCTGCACACCTCCCAGTATGGGCATGTGCCGCAGGATTGAGCCTCAGCATGAGTAATGCGAAGCCAAACAGCACAGGCATACTGACATGCAAGCCCGCAGCATCCCGCAGCAGTACTAGGGAGACATTGCCCGCAGGCAGCAGCCACATAAAAACATAAAACATCCTCAGCATGTCTCTCGCGTCCGGTCCTAGATGCAATATTCGCCAGGGGTCAATGGCAAAAGATTCTGCAGACCCGCACGCTTTTGCTAAGGCCCCTGCCTACGTTGCCAGCATACTTCGCACGATCAACCACCACAACGTCGGCGTCCGGCATAATTGCTTGTTCGCCACTTTTGAGGCCATCCCAGGAGAGGCGAGTCTTGTCATAGCATTGCCGACGAGCTGAGGAATTCACCATCCTCAATGGCCAACCGGCAGCGATGCGAATGGCCCAAGCAATTTGGCAGAATGCGGTTTACGAAGCACATATTGTGAAATGCTATCACCAGGTGCCGCAGGCAAATCCTTCAATGCCCGGCGCAGGCTATCTTGTCTCGCTCAAGTTTTGTTCTGGGATCCCTGCTCTCAAAAAATACGGCACTACATTACCACAATCTCTTTTTGACTATAGGCTTTGATATGAGCCTCGAAAAAGTCTATTGCCTCAAATATTCATGAGATGCATCTGCATCATCTGGGCTCGCAGCTGCATTCTCATCACTCAAGAAGCTTAACAACATTCATGCAGCACTTATGCAGGCAACATCCTCCGAATCAACGCGGACATCACCCTTTTTGACCAGTGCAGCCTGCGTCAGGCCAAGCAAGTGAGGCTGTACATGTTGCGGGCAGTCCAGCATACAGCATACATCCGAATTGGCTCCTCAACGCCCCATGTTGTCAACTTCCTCGCCTTCACCCTCCTCCACGGTCAGCAAGTCTTGATTGATAGCGCTGGCTACTTCTTGAAAAATCAGCTCATGGTCCCAAGTGCTATCCTGTTCGAACACCTGGCGATCTGAGCACAAGCACTGCATCAAAGGGGCAAGGTCGACACCCTCTTCAGGGCTCGCTGGGAGCTGCGTTCCGCGGCTGTTCAATGCACCGTCTAGCTCACGAACAGTTCTGACAGGAGGAGCCAAAGAGGGCGCGGCGATTGGAGGTGCTGCGACTTGTCTGGTGATATCCTCCTCTGCTTCCTCCTCCAAGTCTGGAATCGTAGGAACGGCATCATCATCCTCCTCAAAGTGGCCCTTATGGCCACGCTGAGGCGATGGAGGCTCTGCACTCATCCGTGGGCCACCTCCATCATCATCAAAACCCCAACCTCCCGTGACCGGACCTCGTGGCCTTGGGGCTCGGCCGCCACTGCCTCCAACGTCCCCCTCTTGCGTCACCTCTGGTTCATCATCCATATTGAAAGGCTGGGGGCGGCAAAATGCTCGCTTCCTCTACAAGACTCTTGAAGCCAGTTGCTGCAATGCATGCACCATGTAATTCAACATCGAACCAGCTACAGTCTTGTCAGGAAATAGCAGCACGCATCAGGTGGAAAAGAAATCTTGCTAATCAGTTTTTGCATGTTTTCGTCGTCCTAGCACACGGTTCCTTGGAGCCCCTGCTGCAAAGGCTCATTGTGCTGTGTTAGATGGGTGGTACGCCTCACCGACAGATCTCGGACTCTCTTCGATTGCTGCATACCTCCCTCTGTCCTTCTTCTTCTTATTCTTCTTCTTTCCCTCGGTCCTTCTCTCTCTGTCTCCGTGTCTCTCCCTCTCTCCAGTGGTCTGACCAAGCAATTTGGCGTGCTTTGACATCGGCCCATGGTCGGCGATAGGCATTCTAGTGCTGTGCCAGTTTGGGAAGGATACCATAAGATACTTTTTAGAATCAAAATGACTCCCTAGTCTTCTGCTGCCGTCGGCGGAATCAACAGAACAACTGTCCTATTCAAGGCATAGGGCTATATTTGAGGCCGGGCACATGTGTCTAACAGGCAGAAAATGACTGTGGCATGATGAAGCGACATGGATGCGAAGCGGCTACGAACCAAAATTTAGGATCTTTAAGACCCGTTTGGCCCTCTACGCATACTCACCCGGCACAATCTGAAATTTGGTGCAGTATCATCTGAGTTCTGGCAACCTCATCGGTGATGTATGCGTGAACAGCTGGGCCACACTCCTCAATTGTATCATGCTGGACCAAAACGATGCACGTGAAGAGCGATCATCTGCATAAAGCTACACAAACGCTAGCAAGCATCGAGGAGACTGGTAGCTCTCAAGAAGGTGTAAACCCGAAGAGAGCAGGCAGCATACATGTACACATGCATGTTCCGCGGTACATTGAGCACGAGCGGCGCACCAAGTGGTAAACAAGGACACGTGTACTGGCTGCCAGCGTCTCACATGCAGGTCTGGAATAGTGGAGGCATATGATGAAAAAGGTCATCACATGTGGCAACAGCGTTGTTACAGAACAGGGCTCGTGTAGCGGAGAATCCCATTTGATGCATGTGTTCCAGGGGCCGCTTCTGCACTGCTGAACAGCAGGGATCTGAGATGTCCCCACCTGCATACCCGACTGCAATGGCACGGCTGGTATTGCATCAGGCGGCATACGGAGCAATGTCCCGGATACTGTGGTGCAAATTTTCTCTGCAGACTGACGAACAAACTCTCTTCCATATCTTATTTGGGCAGAGTATCAGGGCATGATGACATCTTCTGCTGGTCTTTCTTTAAATCCTGTGCCTTCCATTTATCTGCTAGCACAAGCACAAGCCTTCATCGAGTCCTGTGTCCTAGTCGGCATCGCCCTGCAGACTTTCCACATGTGCGTAGATGGACTCAAGTTCCCCGGTCCCACACGTAACTTGCTGTGGCTATCAGGCTGTGCGGTTGACCGGAATGCCTAATCTCCACAGAAGGCAGGCTACTGGCAAGCTGCCTTCCAAAAATGCGGGCTGGGCAAGAACTGGACCGGTTCTGCTTTCGCTTCACACCTGACCATTATCTTTTCGTCTTTGACTTACCCGGGGCCCCATACTGCAGTGTTCTTGGCCACAGTCTGTGCTTCATCCTTGCCTGCGTTCTTATCGTTTGGGGCCGGTGGCAGCAAACCTAGTTTGACCTTCATACCCTCTGTTTCATTGGTGGTTTCATGGTGGTTTCCAAAATTCTGGTTCCATAGAAGGCCTGAAATTCGGAGAGTCACCCTCGTACAATTCGCCGCCACAACTCAGGGCTGCACTGGAAATCGCTCCTTCTGCAAACTGCCGCTTTAGATATGTGTGTCTTACAGCTTTGTACAAGCCTTCGGTGCAAACGAAGCTGGCTGCTTTACCACGGTCTTGCGCTGCTGCAAAGCTACTGTTTTCAGTGCTCTGCAAAGATCACCGCTTGCCACTTTTGTGGCAGCAATTCATGCCGCACCTGCATCACACCAAGAGAGACGCATACAGTCCCCCGTTTTGAGGGATTCGATTAAAGCGTCGCCTCCCTGTCCGGGACATGTCTTGGTCTGGCATTCAGTATCGCATGGCGCCGTGCAGTCCAACCTTCGGTGGAGGCGCTAGAACGGATGTTGTGAGGAATGCTGCCCTCCTCCGCAACCTCAATGCCTGCTAACACGAGACTGTTCTCCCGCGCCAACTCATTGGCTGCAGTGTTGGTGTTCTCAACATGGGCAGCAGGCTCGAGCAGACAACCCATGCTGGCTCTTGACTCTGTAGCACCACGGATGGCTAGAAGCTCCCTCTCATCAACCTCAATATTGATCTGCATGCGCTTGCCCAGATCTCCGAGCTCATCGGCGTATTTCGCTCCTGTTTCTGTGCTAAAGTCCTGCTGCGGCAAAGCCCTTTTGCCTACGCAGTAGCCCTGGTAGCCAAGAAGATTCTCCGGAAAGTCCATGTGTTTTCCTAGAGAAACAATCAGGTTCCTGTGAAAGCCCACGACTGAGATTACGTCGTCAACTTCAAAGTCCCCTGGCTGCGATGCTTGGCGAGGCTCCTTGCGGCCGACGGCAGGCGTTGATGCAGCTGGCATATCCACTGCGGCAAGAGCACCCAGGCTTAGGCTCACAGCTCCACTCCACACAAGCACGGCCCCACGCCACTGTTCTACAAGGCATGGGTGTGAAGAGAACTCATAGGAAGGATATGCTGCAGCATCAAAGTAGAAGTATTTGCCAGCGGATATTATGCTGGGGTCGCTTAGCGACTCTTGATGCCTCACAGAGATCACCTGGAAGCCCTCGGGCATGATTGTTTGTTGCAGGGAAGCTATTGCTTCCTCCTGCTGTGGGGCTGGTCTGACGGAAAGATTCGTATCTGTGCCAGTGTATGAGGAAAATGGTGCCCACTGAGATACGAGTCCCTCACTTGAGAGCTGCAGCCAGTACGGCAGCTCTTCTGCTTCAGCCATCTGCATGGCCGGCAGGGCATCCAGGACTGGGTTGTCGTCTGATGCATCGTCAAGAAATGGCGTGGCTGGGTGCTGATCTTCTAAGTCCTCCTCGTCCATGCGCATGTCTGGCATGTACATAGGACGACTGCTCTGCTGTATCTTGTGTTGCGCGGAGTCGGACGCAAACTCGCTTGGCTCTTCAACGCAACTGTCAGGAGCGGAAAGCGTAGCATCTCCAGACAGCAAGCTGGAGAAGGCCCCTGTATGCCCTGTCTCTTCAGGGACTAGGCCGCGTCCATCTCCTGCCTGAACTCTTGATTTTGAGTCCTCTTTGCCTGGTGGCTGCTGTGAGTCCAGATCCACATGAGATGGCATTGGGGAGGCCTGTGTCTCTTGCGTTGGCGGCAGCTCAGCTACATCTGTTTCCAGTCCAAAGAAGCTCTGGACTTGCTTCGCGACCGTGAAGTTTGTCAAGGACTGCCATTGCTCGAGCATCTGCGCTAGAGACTAGAGACAAACTAGCCCATGGAGCAGCCTGGATTGCAAACATGACTTGCGAATGCCGTGCTTGCGTGCAATTCTAGGCGCATATGCGCATGAGCTCGGACTTTGGGCGCAGCGCTTTTCTACAGCGCCTTTGCAAAGGTCTATGAGTCTCTGTGAATTCTCGCGGTGGCTCGGTATGCAGGTCTGTAAATGCTTACATCCTACATTGCCCCATATCCTAGAAGGTCTGGCCACTTCAGCCCGTTCTGCTTCTTCTCAAGGTCAATGACCAGCATCTAAGTACAAGATGGCGCTCACACAATTCCGATTTCCACCACTCACTTGCATCCCTTCTGAGGCGCTTAGCAAGCTGAGGGCCAGGCACGCTTGGCGCCAGACCCTTCCAGATGATGATCACATCCCGCTGGGTCCACAGCTTGAAAAAAGGAGCCGTCAATGATGCAAGGCTGCATCTCGTGGCCCTTGATCTCCACGCGGATCTTTGTGGCGCTAAGCTTCACAGACACATCCTTACAGGCAGGCTTGTAGGGAGCGACTGATGCCTACCAGCCATTTCATTGCTGCATACCTGCGTGCCAGGTAGCCTTCATCTGCGTCTCAGCTGGGACGCTGATGTTTACAGTCATCTCTTCTGAGTCTGCTGTATTGAGGAACTCATATGGTCGAGACTGCAGGTCCGCTTCCCTTGGTGTCACAGCTCGAGTTCTGCAGTTGCAGTCAGATCTCTTAGGGCAAAGTCGTCATCACACACTGAGAGACTCCGCTCCTGAACGGACAACTAAGCCATTTGCTACTTTCCACAGCTACTTTAGTGTGCAAATTCACCCGCAAAGACCGCCCTGCATCGAAGGATATCGAAGGTTTACGGCTGAAAGAACTCAGAGACATTACCTCAGCATCAAACTGGACGACGGAAAGCTTTAGGACATGAAGAATCCTTTTGTCTCGCGGATCTGGGCCTGAAGCAATGTCAGCAGTGCAGTCTCCGTCATAAAACTCAAGTTAAGGCAAGTTGTGCAGTCCATAGTCGGGCTCATGCAGAAGTCTCATACTCTGCTGTTGCTGGCTGGAGAATGGATTAGCGGATGCGTGGCCTGAATGGAGGGCAACCGATGGCGTTAGAGGCTGAGCGAAGTAGGCTGAATGCGAAGGGGAATAGACCAAACATGTTTCACTCGCGAGTACCAAGGCTACACAGGATTGCAGAATGGCTCACAGAGTGACGCGCACCTCCGCGACCAGTGGTGGTAACATGTGGTGACTTGCTGGCAAGGCATGAGTCCGCTGTGCAGACTAGAGCATGTCCATTCCTGATTTGATGAATAAAGCAAGCCTGTTTTGAACTTCATGCACGTTTTGGAAGTAAGCCGTTTGACTTGCCACACAACCTGGTGCGAAACGCGATGAGGTCTGTGCCCCGCCCGACATCCTCTACAGCCGAAGGGCAAACATTGATGGAGCAGGGAAATAAGTTCATCTAGCAATGGTGCTTCAGAGAACATGCAGTAAAATAAAGAAGCTGAAGAATGAGTGTCGGATTGTTGCCACATGTAGGACTGCCAGTCAAATTCGGAAATCCACTCATCTTGAAGACTGTCCTGTGAAGAGCTTCTGCATACTGGCAGGTCATAGTCCGCACGGGCCTATCCTCTTAAAATCCCCTCCTGCAGTTGGTTATGACCAACTTGCCGACACTCCAAGCTACGAGCTTGATGCCTGCTTCAAGGCCCAATCGAGAGCTCCTTTTAGGAGACTAGGACCCTCGCAAAGATAGGAATCACCTAATCACCTGCCTCGGCGGATCTAAACAGCCCCTGCGCAAGAAATGAGCCAAAGCAAACGAGTTGACAGCAAAGTCTGTGGCTTCTAACAACAGTTCCTTACATTTGAGAGGTGCTGCCTGTTCATGTTTGTCTGTAGCCTCCACATATTGCAAACACAGCGTCTGCATTTGCTTTATGAGTGCCTTCATCTCGTCAGACTGCTCGGCTTGCACCATGGGCAGCGGCGAATCCAGGCAATAAGCATCATCCGTCCGCATCCGGCCAGCAATTGCTTCCACTGCGTTTGCCTCCTCCACGAAATTCCTCACGTCCCCCAATGGCGGTTCCGAAAGCACTTAGCAAACTATGTCGTTGAAGCAAATACCATTGCACATCCATATTTGCTTGGATGCGCGGCCCAAAGTTTAGCTTGGTCGGTACTTCAGACCTCCATGATGTCTTTCCGTATTGTGAGAGCCACTGATGATGACACAGTTCGCTACAGAAAGGCTCTTCTCTTGCTGCTGGAAATATCTGCTATATCTGGTAACAACATGCAACGAGGGAACTGATCCCACGCGCAGATGCGTAAAGATTCAAGCAATTGTCGATTCAGGTTTCTGTTCTAGCCTGCATTCAGCAATCCTTCACCAGGAGTTAGGTTGATCAATGTTGATCAGCACCCTTACGAACAGGACCATGGCTCCCAAGGCGGCGGGCTATATGCAGCTGATCTTGCAGCTGGATGAGCGTCTCCACCTCGCTGAGGCATGCCATGATTCACAAATTGTTGACCTTGCTATGGCTTCTGAGATGCAAGCCCCTCTTGCTCGTGTATCTGCATCTCCCAGTAGCGAGAGCACCTGGCAAGTGACCATCTGTATGCCAAGAGCACGTGAAAGCCTGAAGATTTGACAGGGAGTGATATGAGATGGCTCACAATACGTCCGGGGTGGTGGCATGCCGGGTCAGCTTTGCAAGGTCTCCGGCTTTCTCATGACGTTGGAACCTGGGTGCGGTGAGGCCACGGTAGGCCACAATGACCCATCAACCAAATCCAAGTCATCGCACAGCACTTGGTGCTGTTGCCCTTCTTAGCACGGTGTGATTGCTGTGTGCCCTGACTGCTACCCGGTAAGTCCCGCACGTGTCGGCAAACTTCTCTAAAGCTTGTTGTACTGAGTCCGCCGAAGCCATGGACGCGGATAAGTTCTCCGACTATAGGCACTTGCAGTTCGTGAGCAGCTGCTGACTTTGATCAAACTTGCTCCACCTCTTGAAGTCTCGAGCCGCTGAACCCCTTGATAAGGGCAGGGCAGTGGCTCTGTGCCGGCACGTATATCGATGCGTTGTCGCTCAAGAACTGGAGTATTACAGGAGTTTCGTCTAATATTTTGCCTGTGGCACCTGCGTCTCTGCATCAAAAGCCTGTATCCTTCCAAATCCCTGTGGCGGCCCAAAACTTCACAATAGTAGCATGGAATCCAGAACGGGGTTAAGCATTGACAGCCACAAAGTTGGAAGCAACGGCTGTGAAACGGAGACTGCCGGACTTTGGCCACGAAGCCGTTCAAGCTGATTTTTAGCTTACTCGGCCACGCCTGCTCAGCGTGCTTCTGCTGGGAGGTGGAATCACCGGAAAGTTATCAACTTCCGGCTCCTGACCATCTGGAATATCTCATGAGCAGCGTTTTTTTTGGTGGTCAACCTAGTAAGATTATGTTCCTTATATAAAATACTATACACCAAAGGAGGATAGTATCTTACTCTATATTGGGTACCATAGTATCCCCAAGTTAAATACTACTCTCATGATATTCAATACGACTTCTTATGGGGCTCTACCGGACGGGTGTAACATGCTCTGTCGTCTTGCTTCCTCAAGCAGTAGGTTGGCAACACATGGTAAGACCACAAATCTCGAGTCTAACAGCCATCAAGCTGCCAGATTTCACCCACAACTGGCAGATCACCGTGCTTCCTGCTTGATGGCCAACTTTGGAAGCGGCGGAGCTTCATGCCTTCGAGCTCGTGCCATGGCATACCATTCCTGTAGCAAGCTGTCAAATACGGTTCTCAGTCTTGAGTGACCCTGGCGTTCTGCTCCACCCTCACAACTGGGATAAGGAAGCGTGTGGAGCGGAATCTCCTGCTCCTCATTGCTCGCGTTGGTTGGAGGCCTGAGCCAAGTCCCAAGAAGTAAACGAGTGTTTGTGCACGCTAAATGTTAGATCCTGGAAAACGAGTCAGCTCAGCAGAGTGCCAGCTTGGGAAGCACGTTGAATTCATCTGATAACCTGCAAATCGGGAAGTCCAAAGAACCAGGCGCAACTGCAACCAAGAGAAGGTGCTGCAGCAGCTGACATTTATAGGCCTACCAGCTCGAAGCCCAAGGCTTCTGTTGTTCTCATGAACGGCTTGCCCCTAGCACCTCATGTCGCGTCACTGCTGCGTTACCTTCACGCAACGTTACGTGAAGCAACGGGGAAAGTCGGATGTGCCTTGAGGGATAGTTGGCAGGACTTGGCCTTTACCAGGCCTTGGTGTCAAACGGCGAAACTTTCAGACACACATTCTCACTTTGCTGATTACAAGATTTACCAAGTGAGAGGCCGCAGCAACGGGCATCCCGTGCCTGGGCTTCATGTCGACTCATGCTTTGCTGTGTTGTGACAGGGGAAAGAAGCACCCACGATTCATCTCGAGCTGCTTCTTCCAATGTTGGCAGCATAGGCATCAAGGAATTCGCTCTGCCTTCCAAGTCCCAACAACAAAGGTAGGCCTACAAAAGTCATCCCCCCGACCAAACTCATACGACATGCGTACAGAGGCTGACAACAAACCACTGCTGTTTTGCTTTGCATGTCTTCCGCACAGGCAAGTCAAAAGGAGTGTCTAGCGCTGCCGCCGCATTGTCGCCTCTCGGCAGACGGACAGCACAGGTAGCAGCAGCGCGCAAGGAGGAAGGACAATTAAGTCAAGCACTTCAGACTCCTTCCAATGATTGCTATGCACTCGTCAATTTCTGCCTCGCTGATGCACAACGGTGGGGCAAGTCGAATAATGGTTCCATGTGTGGGCTTGGCGAGCAAACCGTTCTTGGCCATTTCTTCGCATAGTTGCCATGCGAGGCCCTCGTCACCATAGCTGCCCTTATCGGAGCCTGCGATGACAATTGCATTCAGCAAGCCTCGGCCACGCACGAGCTTGATGGGTGATCCCTCTTCCTGCGAAAGCTTGCGTATGCCTGCGCGAAGCTGCTCACCTCGCTCTGCTGAATTGGCAGTCAATGCTTCCTCCTTGAGTACGGTCAGAGCCGCAGTGGCTACTCTGCAGGCCAATGGATTGCCACCATAGGTGCTTCCGTGCTCCCCAGGACGGACTGTCAACATGACCTCATCTGAAGTAAGCACCGCGGACGCTGGAAGAACTCCGCCAGAGAGAGCCTTGCCAAGCACAAGGATGTCAGGACGAATGCCATCATGGTCACAGGCCAGCAGTGTCCCGCAACGTCCGAGCCCTGTCTGCACTTCATCGGTGATGAGAAGAACCTTGTGTTTGTCGCAGAGGTCGCGTACTCGGCGCAAGTATCCGTCCGATGGCACCACAACTCCTGCTTCACCCTGGATAGGCTCCACCATAAATGCACACACCGTGTCCCCATGGGCTTGCAATTCAGCTTCAAGTGCATCTGGGTCATCATAAGCTACATTTGAAAATCCTGGCACAAACGGGCCAAAGCCAGTAGTCGAACTTGGATCATCTGAGGTGCTGATTGCTGCAATTGTCCGACCCCAGAAATTTCCGTTTGCAAAGATTACTTTGGCCATGCCCGGTGCTATCTTTTTCACATCATATCCCCATCGCCGAGCTAGCTTGATGGCAGTTTCTCCTGCCTCGACGCCTGTGTTCATTGGCAACAAGCGGTCAAAGCCGAAGAACTCCGTCGCAAATTTGCAATATTCACCCAAGGCGTCATTGTGAAATGCGCGTGAAGTCAAAGTCAGTTTCTGCGCCTGCTCCTGCAAAGCTCCAATGATTTTTGGGTGGCAGTGACCTTGGTTGACTGCCGAATATGCGGACAAGAAATCATAGTATTCTTTTCCATCCACGTCCCACACCTTTGTCCCCTGTCCCTTGCACAGGACAACGGGGAGAGGATGATAGTTGTGCGCTCCATACTTTGCCTCCGTTTGAATTATGGCTTCTTGTGCCGGAGACAAAGTCATCAGTCCCCGGATGCTGGAGACACTTTTGCGAGCTGTGGTCAGCAAGCGCCTGCCGTACCACATGAGCTTCGGTACTATGCTTTTCTTGCAAGACCTATTGGAGCCTGCATGCGGCAGAATGTATGACAAACAGCGCAAGTTGAAGACACTTGCTCCTGCTTAAGCTTGAAACTTACAATTCAACCCCTCCCCTCGCTGAGCATGCAGATGACAGCAACGGCTCGATACAGACATGCCTGTTGCCGGCAGCTGGACCTGACTTGATGCAGAGCTGCGAGTATAACTCCAGCTGCAGGCTACTTCCAAGGCCAACGGCGAGACAAATGAGGACGGCATCTCGCGAGTGATTGCGTCAGCGGGTGATTCGGCCTGTGCGCTTCTTCCAGCGTGCAAGATTTGCAGTGCGTTGAGGGGCACTAATAATCCTGGGCTTTGTTCTACTCCACTCTGCGAGGGTGGGGGTCAAGTCGGCCAGCATCGGTGGCAGACTCAGCACTGTCCCCGCTGGATCAATCTGCTCGTCTCAGGGCCCAACCCCAAGCTGCGCTGAACAACCTCACGGGGTATAGCACTAGCGGGAGGACTGAAGCCAGTCAGTTGTCGAGCTGCTATTTGGCGGCCTCGCGCGCCTGTGTATGGGCGAAAATGGCCTTACCCCATTCCTGCAGCAATAAGCAAGTAAGCGACTCGTACCAGTAGAATCGAAGTATAACAGCCGGTCTGGTTCCTTCACGTTCGCTTAGCCAAAGACCAATACGGTGTGTTGTGTCAGCGCAAATAGCTATGACGGGGATGCATGGAAATTGTGGTCAATGGTCAGCCGCAAGTGTCGCTAAAAGTGACGGAAAAATTGCTTATTTGCACACCCTGGAAAAAGGAACATGGCCAAATCCTTGAAACAAAGCCCATGCAAAAGGTCCTTCAGGGCCTCATGTGCTTCCGCGACCTGCCAGGGCCAACACGAGTGAAAAATCTTCGTGAGCAGGACATTCAAAGGCATTCAGGTCTGATGAGCATGAAATTTCTGAAGGTTCCTTTTCACCTATCTTTCGCAGTTCCAGCACGAACTTTCATCAAAGGTCAAGCAAGTGCTAATGCACGAAAAAGAGTTATTCTGAACATCGGCACAGCTCCACCCGCACCGGACATGTTTGTGAAATTTGCAGGTAAACAAAGATCAGATGGTGGAAGTATGCAACAGGATGGCTCCACCTTGTGAAAGGACACGGCGAGCATTGCAAAGTCGTTCTCAGCGGGACCTGAGACATGAGGGAATCAGCAATTCCGCAAAGCCTGCTCCTCACGCGGCCTGCAGGCGCCTCGCTGCTGTCTCGACTCCTGTTGATTCATTAGCACGTGCGAGTGCTCGGCTGTGTAGAGCCAAGAGACTGGTCAATCCGCAGTATTAGTTTATGAAAGCTGAGAACAATGCGCAGTGAGGACTTGGCCGCTGAGCTGCGCCTGATATCTAATGCCACTGAGGTACTGTCTGCAACAAAGCTGGATTCGACGTTTCAGGAAGTCATGCCACGCCACTGCTGTCGAAGCGTGCTTGAGAGCTGCATCAGGCGCCTGTCGCGTTCCCAAATATCAACCGACATATCTATGCTGGCCTGTTGCTTAAATTGTGTTGCATGGCAACCTGCTCATGTCATGAATGCTAATTTGCCAAGTCCACGCGTGATGGATGCAGGTCATCACAAGAATCTCGGCAACCCAATGTTGTAGTGTCACCACGCTAACCACACTGTAAGACAAACTGAAAACTTGAAAGCTCTCCCTGGTTGCTTCTAAGAGCAAAATATGGGCGTCATTTTCGTGCCGCGACGGCAGCACACGTTCCGAAGTTTGAGTCCCCCACCCCACCCCCCACCCGGCGCTGGCGTGTTCGAAGCCCAAACCAGGATTGAAGGTGTGTGCTGCCATTCCTTCGTCAGCAATTTTGCAAAGCAGGCCTCACTCCAGCAAACCACGTGCGATCAAGCAAAGGCAGGTGGGACAGTGGGCATCACTCAAGCAAATCACGTGTGATGGAGGTTTCTTGATGGGTGGTGGCGGCGGTGGCGAGGGTGATAGTCACACTCTTAGACTCTTCAGCAGCATGAACCACTATCGCTTGTGACCTTTAGTCTGTGGAGCTTGGGACTCTGCAAGCATGCGCTTGGCGTCACCCGCCCCCCTCAACAACGGGCCTCACATGAGTATGAGTAGCATTTTCCCTGCAGGAGCTGTGCCAATGGGTAGGAAATGCGGGAGACAGGTCTGTTCTGCCCAATGTAGCCTACACTATCCTACACTAGTTGTGCATGCACAGTCACAGCATTCAACAACTTTCATGAGCTGTGACTCCTGGTTGTTTCCTGGCAAGGTGCCCCAGCGCGCTCTTCAACATCCATCCCCAATTGCATTACAAACGCTGAGCGCCCGCACGGGGCACTGCAGCACAACGGCCCGGTTGTTCTGCGTGGTAATTTCTCGATCTCTTCGTGTATCCGATGGCACTCTTCCTACGGATGCCAAAGTTTGGCAAGTAATTTCAACGTGGGCCACTACTATGGATTCAAGAACATTGCGGCAATGCCTCATCTTTTGGGTGCAGTGACGCCCAGAAAGGCACCGGCCCACATTTTGGCGTATATGCACCCGCAACTCGTCGTGGAATGGAATTTGCATCAACTGAACAGCAGGTGACGTCCCTTTGCAGCGGCATTTTGTGTGGTGAGACCCCCTTGCACCCTTGACTTCAAGACTGTGCCACAAGCGTTGCACACATAGCTCTTTGCTCTTAGTGGAATCAACCTCCTGCATACCGCAAGTCAGCTTCTGCATTCGCAATTTGGCCAATTTCCACGCACTGACCCTGCTCAACTTCTCTGTGTTTCAACAAGCTGGCCCAGAAGACACCATAATGGTTTTTCGTGAATGCGCAGCACCCTGACCGGCTCAGATTGCTGATATTGCCATGAGCTATGAATGGCAAGCAGCCAACCACTTTTCTGACGTGCCCGCATCTCCCCGCTAAAGACATTCAGGGAGCTATACTGGGCCAGGCTTCCAACAGCTACGCGAGCTTACGCTGAGCTTGCACGGATTTGCAGTGCACTTTTGACGTTTTTGCTGCTGAAGAAAGACATGACCTGCACCCTGGGCACACATAACAGCAAAAGGCGTGACTAGGCATAGTAAGCTACTACGCACTTGTACAATACCACAATAACATAGGAAACGACCCAAATGAAAGCATGGCACGGTAAACACAACCACAGGATGCAATCACACCAAACCTGTAGGAAAGTACTAGGCTTTAATGGTAAAGGAAGGGTGCACAGGGCTCATTGTAAGGACTTCAGGCGCCGCAGTGCGAATATCAGGTCATCACGACCGTACAGAACTCGTAGTTTGCGCTATAGTTCGGCAGTCAAAAACCTTGCGCCCTTCCTTGCGCGGAGCTTGTGCATGCACCTAATTCTTGACAAGTTATTAACTATGTGATAATTCGCTTTCGTCTGTATAGGTGGTAGACAAAGGTTTTTGGACAACCCTCATTTGTGAAGATAGGTCTGATCAAGAACGCGTTGTGGCCATGATCGACGCGTTGAGCGCGTGGGCATGTCCATCAGGAGCAAACTGAGAGCCAGTTCAATATAGGGGGCAAGCCAGCAAAGAAAGTGAGACTACTGCTGACCCTACGGCTATGTCTAGGTTGATGATGTAGCGATCCTCACGAGTCTTGTTGTACCTGAGGAGTTGGATGATAAGGCCCGGCGTATTGATAAGGGCATGCATGCAGCAATTTGAAATGTAGCCATTAGGATTAGCTTCCAGCACTCAAAGATAGAGTCTAAGGTGGAAACCATGGGCCCTTAGTAAATGCCCTTGACCCTGGGATCCTTATATAAGTACTACATACCCTCTATGTACCAGTCTAAGGTGGAAACCATAGGCTCTTAGTGTGAGCCCTTAAACTTAGAATCCTTTTATAAGTACTATATACCCTATGTGTACCCTTAAGGGCCCCTTGGGGCTTAAGGGCCCACGTTAGGGGCCCATACTTCTAACCGTCTAACCTTGTACAGAGGTGAGGCTTGTGTACAACGCGTGCCTTAAGATTGCCAAGCCACACTTTGAAGCTGAAGTTCACGGCCAAACGGTTTAGGTTGTGAACGCTGAGACATAAGTCCCCTCCGTAGCGTCACCCAGTGCAAGAGCGGTGATGGTGAAGACATCTGCAAAATGGGAACGCTGGCCGAATCGGCGTTTGGGCCAATTTCAAAGGACCTGATACTCGGGGCTCACGGAGGACCAGCTTCGTTGCATGCTTGGAGCACTTTGACACTACTTGAAATGTTGGCCTTTGTGCATTGTCGATGTTTCGCCCACCTGGTGTGTCTGCTCATCATGGATTCCTTGCAAGTACTTTGCGCTGTGACCAGCGATTCGCGGGAAAGGGTTCGCGGCTGCGTGCTGATGCGCAAAACCACAACACTGTCTTGCGATTCAAAGGCTCCGTGATTCCCATCTGCTGGCATGGGCACCTCGCTCTCCATATGGCATGAAGCGAGGTTGAGATGAGCAGCAACCTCGAAAGAATCACAAGCACAAAGCTTTTAGCGCAAGCCAGGGTCTCTCCGACACGACATTTTTTGGCTGGGCCAATTGCCAGAGTTCTGAGGTCCGCAACATCAACCTCATTCAGGATGCAGTTTGTGCATTGCTTGCCTTGTATCGAGATCACAGGCAGAGTGATGCAGAGGAGCCAAGATCAAGACCTTGTCGCTATCGTTCAGGCGGACCTCACAAGGGGCTTCCCATTCATATCTTGTGAATCGCGCAGGCATTGCAGGCCTGGTGGTGCTGCAGCGCAAGCTGCCTGGTATCAAAGGGCACTGGTCAGTGTGCGATGAAGCTCTTTGATGCATCATCCAAAAGTGGCGGGACTGCAGCTGATTCACAGCTGGTCCGAAGTCTTTTAATCTCCTGATATTCATGCCACATGCTGCTTCTTCTGTACAGGTTTCCAAGCAAACCGTCTCCCATCCTGTAGCATATGCCCAGGTTGCCCGCCTTTGGAAAGCAAGCACGCAGCTTTTTGCCCAGTTGCTCTGCCGATGACAATGGTGTGCTAGTGACATCCTTGTACTGCTGAGGCTACAGCAATGTCTGCTTGCAGTGCTGCGAAACTCTTCTGCTTGTCGATGTCCGCACCTCACAACGAATGCTTGATATCCACATCTTTGCGCAGTTTCAAGCTAGGCTCGTGCTATCAAGCTTATCTTTCCTTGCGTAATCTTGCGTATCATTTTGGCATAGGCAGCCAAGAGTAGACTGGTGGTAGAGACTCCTAAGCTAGCAGGTGGCTTCTTCTGCAAGTTTTGGGCAGCGCGAAAGCAGGAGCACGACATGCTTTGATAGTCCTGCTGGCATGACTGGCTCTTATACACGTAGCAAGTACTTGGTAACTTTCGTCAAGATGCTACGAGGGACCCACACAGGTTGCAGTACCTGGAAGAAACCCACCTCCCCAGGTCAGTATTTCTCTTGGAAGTGTCGTTCCTGCTCAGCTTGGAGTGAAATTAACTCAGTCACCACAGTCCTCCCTGTCTGGGCGCCTGCAACTGCAAGACATTGACTGAATGGCAGACTGCTTGCATCAACTCAAAGGCCCTGAGATCGAAGCTGCCTGGCTCAGCTCGCTCCAGCAGCGCCTGGAAGTTCGGCACTTGCTGCTCCGATGGAGCTCATCCTACACCCACCACTTTCTAGCAACGTCAAATGTTGTGCCTGCCCGCGAACAAGCTTTCGCACAGCCTCCTGAAGTTCACCCTTTCCTGATCAAGGCGCGGTGCTCCCAGACTGTATGACACAAGCGTAAAACAAGGGTCTGGCGAAGAAAGGCCGCGCCATCAGCGCAACAAGAGGAAGCCAGATTTCGCAGTTCCTCACTGCTTTCGCCGCGTCTTACTGCTGAGTTGTGAGAACACAAGATGTTGCACTGCACCCACTCTCCAACGTCAATTTGAGTATGCATAGTCCCCAATAATGAAGCAGGAAGCCCAAGGCGCCTCGGGTGTTGCTGAAGTATCTGAATCTCTGGATTGCTTGTCAGCCTCACGCGGTGCAAAGTGGTGCGGGAAGTCACGCCTAGCCACAAATTTATTCCCGGAAGCAGTCATGTGGTCCTCATTGCCCCCCATCTCGCCACACTCCTTGTGCAAGGCAAGGCCGAGAGACATACCAAGGACTCGTCAGCTAATTGAGCACCTCCTCTCGCTTTGCCGCTTCTTCATTTGCAGGATTGTCCACCTCTTCCTCTCCATCATCGCGATCGCTCTCCTCAGATTCTGTCTCATCCTCCATGACGCCGGACTTGGGCGCCTGCGCCATTGATCATGCCCCTCCCTTCTCACTGTAGCTGCCAAGCTAGCATCGGCAGGCTTCCAGCCTTAAGCGCCAGAGGTCGTGAAGGTCTCGAAAGCTGCGCCCAACAGGGCCTGCCTGACAGAAACTTCAAAGCAAGCCCGCAGAGCTCCAAATCAAAGAAATTAGTGGATGACTGAGCAATGGACATCTTGCAGGCCCAATGGCGGCTGCTATAAGCTTGAGACAATCTGCAGTTCTACCCCGTGCAGCAAGATTAGAGCTACAAATCTCCCGGCACAGCAATAGATAGCAACCCAAGGCAAAACTGCACAACCAACGCCTTTTTCTGCTTGCATGCATCGACATGTTTGCCGGTACATAGCTGCAGGCTGCCGGATGCTGCCGGGTGTTCGTGAACAGTGACCAGGTATCACTTGTTCATGCAACATTTTTTGTACCTGAGTTCAGCAGGATTCTGCACGTTTTCTGCATGTATCTGCATGTCATATGCGTTTTGCTTCTAGAGAGCGTAGCCTTTCACACCGGTCCCGACATTGTAGTCTTGCGACTTTTCGTGAACCTATGGTATGGCGCCTGAACCCAAATCCCCACAAACGTTGGGAAGTTGATGTCAGCTCGCATGCACCCATGAAAAGCTGACCTTCGCAGCCACACCCCAAAGCACGAACAAGAACATGAATAACAACAGTCAGGAGCTGCGGGGCTCGGGGATTCAGGGGCTGCGTCATGACTGCTGCAATTCGACACTCTGCTTTGCATTGATCTGGGCGGCTTTGCATAGGCAATCGCAAAAGAAGCCTAAAGACTGACTCACGAACACCTGCTCGACATTGGACTTAGGTCTAAAAATATGCCGCCAGGCAACTTCTTTCCAGATCCACATTCGCCTCACAGAATCTACAGAGATTGGTCGGGCCATGCCGCCCAACCCTGCCACCATATGCCAATGTGTCTGCATCTGAGTAAACGCCAAGCTTCAATTGTCGTTAGGTTTTGGCTTCGGTGCCAATTTCACAGATGGGCCAGACGTCGCCTTCACCACGGGCTTAAAGGTCTGATCCTGTTCCATTGACTTGCATCAACGATCGTCAAAATCTATTTCCGCAAATGGGCCTGCACTTCTATACGGAGACATGGCAAGATGGACGCGCTTCATGACAGCCAGACAAGTGCTTCCGTTTCCGCGCATGAAAACACATGAGAAAGCCATCTTCCTCTGACAGTGAGCGGAAAGCTCAACCGCATGGAGCTTGCTTGTCAGATTTAGCGTTGTGGCGAGAACTTCCCGCTGCCAAACCGCTCCTCCTGAATCGACTTTGAGGACAATTCCAAAGGTTGGCGAGCAGCTTCCCTTCCAAACGTTCCCAAACCTGCACTTACTTGCCGGTTTTTTTGTCTGGTCTTCTTGGTTTCCATGTTGAACACCCAACCGTTCTGGGCGTCTCGCCTTGGTCCCTGAGCAGTTCCACTCCGAGATTCTCAATGGGTTCATCCCTGTTCCCGGAGCCGCGGCCTTGTTTACGCAGATATGCATTTCAAGGATTCTTCTGACGATGATGGTTCCTCTCGCCTTCACCTCTGAAACCTAGTTTGTCCTCGGCGCTGCTCCTTGATTCGAGAGTTATGCGCAGTGGCTAACATCAACAAGGCTCGGTGAGAAGTAGCATCCCGTGCAGCCTTCACCTATTGCATCCTATTGCAATTGCCCTAACAGGGCTGACAAGTGACGGTAGCAAAAAGAGACTTCAGCCCAAGTCTCCCTGGCTCACTCCCTGCTCTCACGCTTTGGCAATGCAAAATGCCGGAATGAAGCGCCAGGCAAGGGCAAGGATGCCTCCAATTGCTGCCATGAACAGCGGCATGCAGTCCAACAAGTTTACCCGCGCTCCTTGTACAATCTGAAGGAATGATCTGCTGGATTAGTGCTGAGCGTCTGTTTCGCCAGCTTGTTCGGCATAACACCTACAACGGACTGAACGTGTGCAAGAGACAGCACTGGCGGCCAGGAAGTGACAAAGCTTGCTGGAAGAGCCTGTTCCACCGGCCCAGGCGTCATAGCATGACTCGCACACATCATGAGATGCGCACGACTTGCAGACGTAGCGGTATCCAAAAATTGGTACGACTGCACATGCATCACCTCATGTCAAGATGTCCCATCCGGGTATGCGCGTGAGACCTACGAAAATGAACAGGTTCTGCAAATGCTCAGCTAAACTTAACTAAGGATGCAAGGTGATCAATACAACGCACCGTAAAAAGCAAACAACCAACACCTGCGACAAGTCGCATGTGATGCCCTGGTGCTCGCCGTAGTATGATGTCCCCTTCTCGTCTATTTCTTGCTTTTTGGCTTCTTGGAAGGTTTTAAGTGCCTCAGCCTGACACTTCGCACAAGATGCATTTTGACATTGGGATGCGGCCTTTGACTTTCTGCCTTCTGACGTTCAGCTTGTGCTGCTGCAACACGAGCTGCTATCTCTGCTCTTTTCGCATCTTTTATGGCTTCCGAAGCTGGCTTGGCACATTCCTGACATAAAAGGGAGGCAAGCATGTAACCAATGCTCTTGCACCCATGTCAAGACATGCCTTCTCCTCCTTTGTGCTGTGTACTCACACGCATACACTACTGTCAGTGAGTCGAGACAGAGCAGACATGCCTCATCCAAATGAGCTGTGGATTTTATGTTTATTCCCTGCTGAATTCACTTTTTCTCTGCAGGATCACAGTGCTGCCGTAAAGTCCTTCTGCTAAACACTTTCGGTAGGATTTCGGGGCATGCTCACGGAAGTGCAACTTCAATCAGAAACACGCTTTGCACAGCGCGCGCGCTTTTTTTGGTTTGCCTTGTGCTGTTTCATGACAGGTTTCTAATACTGCATGTAATGATGTGGTGGTCGTCATGGTGGTGGCGGTGGCATGGGTGGTGGTTACAGAGGCGGTGGGGGTGCTGATGCTGGTGCTGGTGCTGGCGGTGCTGGTGCTCGTGGTGTGGTGTGGTGTGGTGCTGGAGTTGGTGCTGGTGCTGCTCCTTGTGCTGATGCTGCTGGTGCTGCTGGTGCTGCTTCTGCTGCTGCTGGTGGTGGTGGCGGTGGTGGTGGCGGCGGTGGTGCTGCTGGTGTTGGTGGTGGTGGTCGTGGTTGTGCTGCTGCTGGTGTTGGTGGTGGTGGTGGTGGTGGTGGTGGTGGTGGTGGTGGTGGTAGCAAGCAGCATCAGCAGAAGCAGCGAAGGAGGAGGATGGGGACCCCCTATCCTTCCGAACCTCTCCTGAGTAGACTCTGCTG